CCCCCCCCCCCCCCGTGGGGCCACACACACACGGATGGATGGACGGACGGACGGATGGGCGGTTCATGTAAACATGTTTGCCTAAGATGAGCCATGTATTTTTTATAGTCATGCTCAGCACTGGCTGCTTTTAATCAGCTTCATAGTTGGTTTCCATTTCTGAGAACATGCTACTTGGGGCATCAGTTTAATGATAGACAACGTATTTAATGAGGTTTCACTATATACAAATGTAAGACAAGGGGCAAACTTTGTCCTGTATTTGAGTAGATTATGGTAGCAACACTTTGTACATATTGTAGATAGTTCTTTTCATCTTTGGAATTCAGGATACTTTGTGAAGGCAAGGATAAACTTATAGGTGGCAGCTAAACACAAAATGACTCGAAGTAATTAGTCCACATGCAAAGTTGCATAAATTTAATTGATGTGAAATCATACCGTTAGTTAAATACAGCTCTGTGTAGAACCAGGTTTTCAAGTCACTGGTCTACTTGTGTTGTGCATGCAGATAGGGTAGTTTTAAGATTTGCATACCACATTAGAGCACTCGCTAACACAAAGAGATGCCAGGCCACCTTATTTCTTCTCAGACTTTGCCATACGTTTCCTGGTGGCTGCTCTTTCATCAGGCAAGTATTCCTTGCTGAAGTTGATTTAGTATTAGGAATATTCCTGTTCTTCCATAAAACACCCTACTGGTAGTTGCCTGAGGGTATAGAATTAACTGTTTTTACTCCATTGAGACTATGGGGAATTAATGCTCCTGATAGCCCTTCTAGTTGCGATTTTGAAGTTAACAGTGAAATGAAATAGCAAAGCCTGGTGTGTGTGAGCTGGTTTGCATGTTTTCCTGCCTTTAACTGTTCTTCTTTTTTAATAGGTATTGAAGGACATAACCAGAAAATTAGCATATTTTGTAGTTCTTTCAGTCCTCTGTTTCTTTGATTCCTGCTGAGGCTAAACAGTTGGAAGCTGGAATTACTATGAAAAACATTTCCTTTCTGGTCAATCTATATACCTTCTCCTGAAGATTACTTTGGGAGACTTCTGACCTAGATCTAACAGTTTTTTACAAGGAATTGTCCTCAGTTACTCTGTTTTATTTCCCGCAGTCTTGGCCATTTCATCATCCAGTTAATAAAAAGTTTGTTCCAGATTATTATAAGGTGATTGCCAATCCAATGGATTTGGAGACTATTCGAAAGGTATGTACTTTGCGTTGAGAACCCTTTAAGAAAGTGTTTATGTTTGTGTTACTTACCATCTAATCTCTTTCAGAATATTTCCAAGCACAAGTATCAGAACAGAGAGACCTTTCTGGATGATGTTAACCTCATTCTTGCCAACAGCATTAAGTATAATGGTAAGCAATGTTTAATATCCCCAGTCCTTGTCCTTTCCTGAAATCAGTGTATCGGACCATCACTGAAGCTTACAATCCTGCAGTATGTGTTACTGAGCACCCTTGAGTGGCCAGGGCAGCATCTAGATTAATTAGATGAGAGAAGAACTGATCTGGAAACTGTACATAGTCTTTCTGTTAACTCTGTTAGTTTCCACAGATTTTGTGGGACTTCCACATAAGGAAGGGAAGTAATTCAAGATACTTTCATAAAATCACTTAATTTGGGTAGATATAGGATTTTAAAATGACTTGGGGCTTTCCTCCCCCCCCCCC